CGAGTCCAGTTGTGTGTATAACAGGCTGTCAGATGTGGCTATCATGCATAGCTGAGGCCTTATTTTTACCGGTTGGCATATAAATTGTACTGATGTTTACTGTAGCTAGCGAAGACAAGCGGGATCGCGGATAGTTAACGGTATACAAGACCGTCATTGACCATCGGTGCATAGGTGCAGTCTCATTATCAACGTTGCACACAAACGCGAGCCTAGCAATTACAGCAAGTATTCGAGATGAGTGAAAACTAGTGGAGATACGAGTACAAGGGGTCGTCTTTGCCCATTGGATTGGGCTGCCGCGCATATGTGGGGAACCCTAATTAGCGTCTCACATAGACACGGATTCAGCAGTATTAAATGTATTAAATGCATGAACTAAATGCATGTATTAAATACTCTTAAGATGTTATTTTAATTCTTCAGGATCACCGCGGAAAACCAAAATATGCTAAAGTGCGATTTCCGGTTTTAGGTCGCGTAAACCGGCAAAAAATCCAAATCGGCGATGGTCAATGACCTTGACATTTCGCTCACTTAAACAAAATGCTACGTGCAACATGTCACAGGCAGGTGCAAATTGATTAGACTACTTCACATAAAAAATGGCAACTTCGAAAACCCCATAGTTTCGGCGAACTCAATTTCGGCGTGTCAATGGCCTGCGGCGTCCTCCTCCACGTATCCAAAGGCTCCTGCCTTCTGATGATCCTGGAATATGATCTAAGAACCAGCTCCTCTCCATAAGTTGATAGGAGGCTGCTCCTAGCGGATCCATGATAAGGTTCTCTCGATACAAATCAGATAAATATGTCTACATTTCTCCATAAAGGCTAGTAATTCTCAAACGACTTTTCCTACGCCTGTCAGATCTTACTCTTGAGTGAAAATGTCGGCTTGTGGATAAATACAAAATTCTCCGCTTACTTGCTTCAGGTGCTATAAAATGCCCCAAAATCGTTCAATTTTACGCCAAACCTTTTGCACTATTGATCACCATGGCGTTTTCCTGATTATTTAAATCAATACCTGAGGGGCTTTGTTCTTGATGGTATGAATTGTGTTTTGCAATAACCCCGCGGACTTCAACTGCTGAATCATTGTTTTAAACGGTGCCAACTGAGTGAGAAATTTAAACGAGATCAATAGGGTTGGGAGGTAAAATATCCCGCGTTCTGAATAGTGGTATTAAGAGGCGATATGTGGAGTAAAATGGTGCCTTACAACACAAATAGTTTAGACTCATCCCTAGCTCGACGGTATGTCGTCTACTGAACAAAAAGAGCGTTCATACGATACTCACAGCTCTCCTCATGCTATATCAATGGGTATTTACAGATTGGAATGTCGGTGTGTTATTTCCAGATTTCGTATCACAATATGTGCGATTATTTGCCATTTAAACAAAATGGGGTGAAGGGGCACTTACTGCTGCGTTAGGGTTAGGTAAGCAGACGTAAGAAGTTGACTGATGTTTATAAGGCCGACCTTTTATAACCTGTCCTTCATCAGGTAGAGCCAACAACGTTGCCTCCATTAATATGGATATGATGGTCGCCTGGGAGTACGCCTTATCGCCTGCATATTTCTAGAACAGAATAAAGTGCGACTTTGCTTTCAGAGCACCTAATAATACGATTCAGCTGTACGATTCCTCAAAATACTCTACCCTAGTCATTCTGCCATGGCCAAATCTTTTGAACACAGATTGCTGGTTGAATATCAGTTTTAGTACGCATGGAGAAAAGAGAGCAGCATATCAGCTGTCAATAGCGGAGAAGCGAATTGTTCGTTAGGATCTGGTCATTTTGAACATATCCCAATTGAAAGCGCGTGAGGGTTTTCAGATGTAAGGCCTCTGAATTCGACTACCAGTATTCAACAAACGTCAGGCCACCGCCTTATTGTGCATATGGAATCAAAAGAAAGTTTTCGTTGGTTGCACAAGGAATGGTCATGAGTGTGGTGAATCAACATTGTACAAATACATATGAAGTAAAACTGAGCACGCCAGTAATATCGATGCAGCCTTTCAGTTGTTTAACGGATTCCGTTCATTAGAAACGCAGAAAAGGGGCGCGTTACACTTCTATTTTAATTCTTAGCGAGTGCAGCAAGCCTGTTGGTGAAAGACTGACATCGAAAAGCGTCTAAAATTGCCTTGAATTGAAGTCTGGATGCAGCGTATTGCGGCGTCGAAGGAAGGCACACTTTTCTGGGTGTCATCTGGCCTGTTCACGTGTGATCTATTTGCGGATTTCTTATTTACAATGGTTTTGTGTTGTACGAAGTGCCAGCTCATTTTCGCGTCTCCTGAAGTCCTTTGTGGAGAAGAGGCCGAATCCCTTAAGGTAACTTTTTGCCCACAAGACTGTGCACTGCTTTCTTTAAAACGAACTGCGCGTTAACCTTGTGGATTGTCTGGACAATAATTCTGTATGTCTCCTCCACTGAATCTGATCCCACCTTGAGTTGGTCAGGGAAGATACGCACTTCCAAGAAGTTCGAATGGCAGCTTATGTCCACGTTTGAGATTCCAGATTTTTCACTCAGATGCAGGTGAAATTAAAGGTCAGCACACAACGGTCACTATGTCCCAGTGTAGATGGGTAGCAAATCCGCTTCGCGTCCTTTGGAAAGTGTGATCTATTTCAGAATTTGTCGAGTCGCTCTGTAGCATTTGCCTGCGTTTGAGTAACCGTCAATGAACACGCAGGAAAGTTAATGAAGACGCGTTCAAGGAGAGGATGGACATTCAATTTTTGTAAACAAGATGCATATGACAGTTTCGCTTCCTTGTCCAATGGCCAGTAACCCTTCAGATGGTATTTTCTAACAAGCAACTCCACAGCGAAGACTCTAACGGGCGAACGGTATCTTCAAGTGACGCGTAATACTGGAACCGCCGGCTAGGCAAAACAAAGTCCGAGCTGGGTTTCTGTACGGTACTATTAGTGTAAGACAAATTCACAAATTATACAAATCTCGACAGTAGATACTCGTCCAAAACAAATGGTCCACTTCGACTACAAAAGTACAAACCAAGGGAGCAAACAGCCTCTCACGTACGACAGTCGCACGTGCAAAGTCGGCTACAAATCGCCGGATGACCTCAAGGCTAAATGGGTGAAGCGGTAAGGACAAACAAGCGTCAGTTCATATATACACACCAAACACAAAAGTGGGGCGAAGGTTACCAAGGGGGACAGAATAAACGTGGGGAATTTCAGTTGTTAACGTAATGGATGATACAAAGTCCTTCTCACTTTCACCCGTACAGTCAAAAGTCAACCGGTTCTGAGAAGGAGCACATAGCATTCCACGTCCTATAGTCAGTGGAATCGCACTATCCACATCTGTTTTGGTCAATTGCTAGCTGCAGAGGACAGCAGCCTGTAATAATCTGGCTGATGACTGTGAGTAAGTGGGTTCACCGGAAAAATAGAGGGTAGCACGGCAAATATACACGCACAGGTTATGCTGAGATGGGAACCTCAACAACGCGTTAAACTTGTAAGTAGATGAAACAAAGAAGGAATTGTTCCACGAATGCGCATCGTCAGTTATCAGTGAATTCAGACACATTCTGGACACGCCAAATGCAGATGAGCTTGAGGCGATGGCGAAACTGAAATGTCCGGATTATCTTCGGAATATATTCGCTGTTTGTACACGAATTAGAAGGGGGTTTCCTAGTTGAAAACGGAAAGGACATGCGAAGACTCCCAAAGACAGGGCACACGCTTTTATTGGGCAGTAATTTTCACTTCGGGTAGTTGGTCAATGGGGTACTCTTCCGCTGATCGTTGTCTGCGCCGCGCCAAGAGTTAAGATCAGACAAATTTTCGGCCCTATTATGTGAGTCCGCGCACTACTCTCCCTCATGTATAGCTATAAGAACATGAGGAGCAGCACTACAGATTATCTCTGCTTATTATTTTCAAGTTAAGGGAAGCTGGAGAACCACGAGAACAACCAAAATCGCGAAAGCTCAGGTGGAAGCTACGATCAACTATGCCAAAAAGCGAACTCCGCAAACTCGAGACAAGGGAAAATCATTCGCTGGATCAAGGCGTTCCCATCAGACAGATCATTCCGAGTGAGAATGGGCTCGACCTACTCTTCTCCAGCGCCGGTCTCCATTGGAGTTCCTCAAGGCTCCGTCCTGAGACCAGTGCTGTTTCTGATCTACGTCAACGACTTCCCAGATGTTCATGCGAGTCCATGTTGACTTTTTGCGGACGACCTGAAATCCTGGAGTTCCAATGCCAGTGCCCTCCAAATGGATGTAGACGCTGCCAAGCGGTGGTCGCTGGACTGGCACCTTCCTCTAAATGACGAAAAGTGCGTCCATATGTCGTTTGGAGGAGACTCAGCGAATGCCTTTGTTATGCATGGTGAGAAAGGACCAGAAAACATCATGAGGATAGATGCCAAAAAGGATTTGGGCATCCGGGTCTCCTCAAACTTGTCCCCACTGCACCATGGAAAATCGGCCCAAAAGGCATTCGGCATTTTACGGATGATCCGACGCACCTTCTCCCGTATTACTCGCATGGACTTCCA